ACAGAGTAGACTTCACTGCTTTCTTTTGGGGTTGTTTTATACGTATTTCAAGAAAAGTTGAACTATTATGTTAGTTTTAACTCATCTATATCCTTTCTGGTAAAGCTGCTCTTGGCTTGTCCAGCCACACTGTTCAACATTTGGGTAGAGTGACAGGTGAATAAGAGCAATTCAAAAAGAGACTATAGCTTTATCTTATATGGTCCAGGTCAGCATTTACTTTTCCCATTCAACACAACATACATAAACTTGGATCTTTTTGTAGACCATAACTATTCTTGCTACACAGAGCCAATCTGCATTCACATTCCTTCCATTTCATAACTTGCCAGAGTAGTACTATCAGAAAAACAACAACAACAAAAAAACAGTAACACTACCAGTTAGCTTAGTTTCAAAGCATAAAATTTTAGTCTACATTATTTGGTATTCAGAAGTGCTTTACAAATGGTAACTGTAATCACTCTAAGCAAATAAGGCATTGTACAAAAAGTAGAATAGCTCAAAGGAATATAAAGTCCGTAGTAGCAAATTTCATGAGAAAGGACTCAGGGATTTAAACTCACGTGTCCCTGATTTGTGCTTCTCCTACTAAGAAGTACTACAGTTTTAGCCTTTGTTTCTGTGTTTCTGGATTTTTTTTCTTTAGATGAAGTTCCCTTCGGACTTTCAAACCAGCAAGCAAAAGCTCACCAGAGAAACTCGAAATAAAGACTTTTAAACTAAACAAACCACTTTTCTAATCTCACCTCCAAAAAAGAGACTTGCTTCTACTACTCTATGACACATTCAGGCCTAAACTTTTCCCCACTCTAAATTTACACTACCTCTGGCTTTAAATGTGTGCTCCACAAGAACAGTTTAAATCAATATTTCACAAAATTTCTTTCACATCACAGGGCTTACAGATTTGTTACATAACAGAATATCCAGTGCTATCAAAAGTAATACTGCACAATAGAAAAACTATTTACCGGTGAAGAAAGTAAGCTGTATATTTCATATCACATTACAAGTTTCACAACTGAGCAACTGGTACACCCAACTAGAATGGGGAAAGCAGGTTGAACCAGAAATGACATCCAATTAAATGCTGAATTACTTTTTAAATACTAGTAAGCAAAAATGCATTGTTGTCATGTTTTAGACTATTTAAATTTAGAAAATCTGTGATCTTTTAAGTGAAATTAATAATAAAAAACTATGAACTGTTCAGTTATCAGAAAAGCCTATTTTGCTGATCTTACTTTCAGAGATTCTCTATGATGCAAGAAAGAAAATTGTTTTAAGATTTTTGATCTATTCTTCATCTCATACCAGCAAGCTTTAACAACATTCAATTTCATTCCTATTTGCTTGTCAATTACTTTTTAAAAAAAATACACTACCAATGAAAACCAGACATTTGTATTTTGATCTGTATTAAAACTTCTGCAGTAACAGAATGATATACTATAGGAAACGAAAATATTGCAAAGGACTTTTTACAAAATTAGTCATTGATTGTGTTAAATTTACAAAATTGTTACAGCTAATATTTTTCAACTTTTTTCTGTAACTTCTTTCCTGTGCAATAATTTGCCAAAATACGTTAGTAATTAACAACCAGGTAAGGTTAATACTATTTTAATTTTCCATGCTACTAAAAACTATGCAAGATCCCTAGATATCAGACCTGGGGCCAGCAGATGTGAGATGTTTATCATGGAATCATCATCAGGGAATCAGTTAAGTAAAATGTTAGTGGTATTCCTTCTACATTCCTCTTCACAACAAAAATTTTCTGCACAGTGGCTTTTTTTTCCCCTCTCCTTCTTCAGATGAGCTAAAAGACTAAGGTATGTTAGAGATGAGACGAAATTAATTAGCTTTCTCACCCGCTCTCAGATTACAGCCTCTTTAGCTAAAGCAAAAAGGCATTTCTAACACCTTATCTCTATCTCAATATAAATTTCAGAGCACTATCTTAGCACTCCCTGTGTTGACCTCTTGTTGCTAGCAGAAGCAAAAAAAAAAAAAAAGAAAAAAAAAACAAAAAAAAAAAGAATTATTCAATTTCTATGTTCCAAAGAGTCTAATTTTTACATCTGTATTTTGCTTGCCATTCTGCTACAACTTGAAAGAGCAAAGATTCAATGGAGGCCCAACACTTCATACAGTAGGATAGTATTTAGCATCTGACATTTAGATTAGAAGATTTTAGTAGCTAAAGGAATTTACCTTGTCAAAGTTATGGCACCTACAATTCTCTGCAGCTTAAATTTGTTTTTCATGTATATTAATAGTTCCGTCTCAGAATTAATGCTTTTAATGCAATTTCTGGTTTCATCAACTTCTGAAACAACAGGATCATGTAAAGTTTTATCTTCCAAACAACAGAGCAGTTGGGCAAAGATCTCCAAAAATACTCACAGCTAATAAAGACTTACCAACTATTTCTTACCATACTGAACATGTTAAAATTAAATGTGCATTAGTGAAGTTTTAGAGATCCGTTAGAAATGCTATAACAACAATGAATAACGTTAAAAATCAGATTTTGAATGTCATCTTATGACTATCTATCCTTATACTAAAAGGACAATTCTCAGAACTTTCAGAGCATTCTGAGCAACTGCTGAGAATCAGTGTCTGCTTAACTGATAGAGAGCACAGGAGGCAAGAACCACCAAACATCTGGGCACTGATATTGTGATATTACTTCCAGGTTGCAGAGTCTGTCAAAAATGTATGTAGTAATTCCTGAGTTAGGAAAAATACATAAAAGGGTACATCTTTAGCACAGAAACTGGACTATGATCTATAAACAAAAATAGAGTAGTCCTCAAAAAAGGTGCTTGAGGACTTCACGAGATACAAAAGCAACACAGCACAGTATTACTTACCCATGAGTAGTGTTTTTAAAGCAAGAAAGTGTGCTGAAATGAGTAAGTTTTTGCAGAATACTACACTTCAAAGCATATAACTGGCTAATCAGAGCAAAGTAACCATACTAGTTAGTCAGCAAAAGGAAAGTAACACCCATTTTCAAGAATCTTAGGTGTTCATCCCTCCAAAAAAGCAAAAACCTGCATCGCGTGGCTTCATTTACCTAAAAGGGGCCAGGGCTTCCCAAGTCTTCAAGCAGGCACAGCCTGATCTCTGCTGAAGGCCAAGCCAAATACAGAAACAAAAAGATTTAAGAAAAAATGTAGGAAAGGCAGGATGGCAGGATTAGGACACTTCGGCGAGGCTCAGCCAGACGCACAGCCCGCAGGTAGCAGACGGCCCCGTGCGCTCTCCGGGCCGCAGCTCTCACTCCTGCCTCGGCCCTCAGCACAGCACAGCCCAGCCCCCCCCGCGGGCCCGGCGCCGCCGAGCCGGGCAGGGCGGGTGGCA